AATGGAGAAGCGACATCAGGGACACGATTTCCTTCATGAAGGGGTCCAGTTGCTAGATGCAGTCAACTGTACACTCAATTCCCCTTTCTCAGTTCTGGCATCTATCCCATTTACTTAAAGCCTTTATTGTATTCAGAAGCATAGATCTGATTGTGGTGTCAAAAGAAACTCCCATAGAAGTAGTGATGAACATCTGCCATGTAACTAAAGTTGTAGTAAACACTGCAGGTGATCCTAGAATTATACAGCAGGTTGAACGATCCGACCTATGTGGAGCTGTGTCTACAAATTTAATGACACAATTGTCTCTTGCAACAATTAGATCAGCAAAATATTACTATGGTCACTTGGGTACTATTTCTGGTGCTATCTGAACCAGCCTTGATGGAACCCCACTGACTGGAGCTGAAAACAAGCCATGCCTGCCATTAAGAGTCTGTAGCTCTGTTGGACTTGTCCGTGAAGTCCCGATACCCCATAAATAAGAGAGAGAACAGCCAGGAGGTCAATGGAGAGCTAGGCAACCAGCCAGGACCCAGTGACGTGGTGTGGGGACAGGGGAAAAGAGTCTTCCTGCCTGAGACGTATCCCAAGAAAAGTGACCCGAAGGGTGTGAGACTCACGGAATTGTTGGATGTAATGCAAGATGGGGAACGGGCAGCAGTACTCACATCTCCAGAGCCTCTGCTTCCCAGCAGTCCTGGAGATTCGGTGAGGACAGAGGGGGAGCAGAACCCACAAGAAGGAATTGGCCATGAGCATGTGGATGCTCCTGACGTACCTCCCACCCACATTCCGGAGACATAGGCTTTGACTCAGCATCCGAAGAGAAGAGATTCTGGGAATCCAAGAGGTGCCCCCAAGAGAAAAAGGGGCAACACTCCCACCCCCCAAGAGGAGCCTCAAGAAGGAGCCGTGTCGTTGGACAAAGGACAAGTCACCAGACGGCACAGGTGCAATTCAGTCAGTGCATCAAGCACCGTGGAGCCAACTGGTCACCCTGTTGGCAAAGAATCTAGGCGACAGATACCATATGAGTGTCAAGACTGCAGCAAAAGGTTCAGTTACAAATCTGTTAGACCTTCACCAGAGGACACACTGGAGAGAGACCCTTCCAATGCCCTTTCCCAAGAGATTCATTCAGGCCTCAGCCCACCACGTACACCCTCGGATCCACACGGGCGAGAGGCCGTACTGGTCTATTGTCTGAATGAAGAGGTTCACCCACGAGTCCCCGCTGCGTGGCCCCCAGCGGGTCCACACCGAGGAGAAGCCATACCAGTGCAACATCTGCCACAAAAGGTTCAGCCAACGCAGGAACCTCAATGTCCACATGCGCACCTGCTCAGGCCAGAGACACTACCCGTGTCCTCACTGCAACCTGGCCTTCCGCCAACTGGGGACATTTAACACCACCTAAGGACTCAGGTCAGTGGGGCGCCCCAGGGTCCCCATGTCCCTTCTGACCCAGAAGGAAATTAACGGGTCACCTATGATGCAAAAATAGTCTATGAGCACTTATACAGAGGGGGTTCTATGAATTAGAATAGGGGTCCATGTTCCCTATTGGCCCCATACTCTGTGTCAGTCTTGCTGGTAGTTTCAATAAATTTTTTTTAAGGGTTGAATCGTGAAATGAAAATAGAATCTGTAGCTCTGTTTTCCGAGGAAGAGAGAAATTCAGAATCAACATGAAGAGCCAAATTCAAGCTCAGAAATTTCATTCCATGGTACTAAGCAGCAACCTCAGACTCCTTGGCATGAAAACGGCCCTTCTGTGAGGGCAGTCAGGACAGAGAGCACCCCAGAAGAACTATGGCCTCATCCCTGAGGACCAAGAAGATGTCCTGCAGCCACTGGTGACATCCTCAGTGGGAGTATTTCCAGCTCACTGAACCTAGGTGAGTTCAGTGGCGGGTTACCATGTGATTGAGATGGGTTCAGCACTCTCTGCCTGTGCCTTTCAGATCAGGCCCCCATCTTCTCAGAGAAAGTGCAGATGTTGACTATGGGCACTGTCCCCAGCATGCACTCATTTTCCCCATAATATCCTCAGTGTCTATCACTGAGATATGCCCTGCCTTAGAGATAATTGAGGCTGAACCATGGTCCAAAATATTAAATGGAAACCTCCAGAAATAAAAAAATAAGCTTAGGGAAAGGTGTCACTGAGAGATTTCCCCAAGGTTGAGCCTTCACAATCCCTAGTCTCTGGGTACTTTTCGTTGATTCTTCATATAACTTTACGACATTCTAATCAGTATATATGGCTTACATTAGCAAGTTCAATAACAACTTTCCATGTTGCCTTGCTGCCTGCATCACTAACAGTTGATCTAGAGCCAGTTAGTGCTTTATGTGCTGGTCTCTTCTACTGCTGGAGTGAAACACATATCTTGACCTAAAGCCTAAACTAGTAGTGCCACGGAAATTTCCCAAACAAGGGAAAATCATACCATCTCCGGAAGTTAGCCAGCATGCCTTCTCAGCTCAATTTGAGATTCAATCCTACCATCTTGAAGTCGTAGGCCCTGGACCTCTAGCCAGTGCTATCAGACCAAAATGACAACCTACCTTACAGACCAAGTGTTGAAATCACCTCTTCTGGAGACAGAGGTGAAGCTTGCTATGAGTGGCAGTAAACTTTGGTCTCATAGGAAGGTAACTAACCTTATTCCATCACTGTCTTTATTAACAACTTTCATACCGCTCACGAGTTTTCTCGTTTTCACACGCTATCTGTTATGGACCTTAGATGTCAACACACTGTCTTGTCCACATCGAATGAAGCAATCTCATTGGTGGAAACCGTACAGGTCAATCTACGAAAAACTATGTAATTGCATGAACCCATAAAGCATTGCAGTTACATTGTATTTTGGTCATTTGAATAGTCTTCGTCTTCAAGTTCCTGGCGCTTTTAGAAATGCCCTCACTCAGAAAAAGGAAGAAAACCAATGAAACTGATATACTTCCATTCGTGTTGTTCCATTCTAAGGAAAATGATGAAATGGACAAAAAAAGTAGTGCTGTACCTTATAAACTGTGGACTTTTCAATTTATTTAGTGTACAACGTCCTCAGTCCACGAGCAAAAATGAAGTATATAC